TGGGTTATAGGAAAATGCATGACTACTTTCTTAGAAACCTACTACAGGTATTCATTTTTTAACTCAGTGATACTTACAAGACCAGGAAATTCTATTCAAAGAAAGTCTATTAAAATATTCCTAACCAGTAAGAAAACAAAGGTTTAAATGGGAGGAATGAGTGAGCATGGGAATTTAAAATTTTTCAGCTCATCTTGCCTCTTTTTAAGTGAGGCTGTTAACTGTAGGCAGACGTTAACACGTTTGAAGGCAGCAAATCATTTTGGGGGTGGATGTTGCTTTTACAAATTAAATATCAAGATCAAAGTCATGATATCGACAAGAATAATTTTAGTAATGTAGGCATATTCAGTTGTTAAATTTCCTATTTCTAGTATAAAAACGTTTTCCCACAGTTAGAAATCCTAAACCTCCTTTTAAAAACACTATACTTTCTATAGTCCTTGCTTTGTAATCACTCAAAAAGCTCATAAAATAGCAAAAATTTAAAAAAGAGATCATTTTAAAGAGTGGAAGTTGATTTAATTATGTTCTTCAATGTTTGGAATTGCTCCAAATAAGAGATGTTTCAAGAAGTAAGATATATAGAGCATCCTGGTTTTAAAGGAAAACCCCAAATTATGTTAAAAATCCATCTAAATCATCATAGAAATAGAGTTAATCAAGACAATAAAAATACACTTCAGACTTCAGTAATACGAACATCTTTTTCCAGTTTATATTTGCCACTTTTAAAAAAATTTAGGATCACAGTAGTAACCAACACTGAAAAAAAGAAGTGAGGCTATGTAGTTTAGCCCGTCACTCTGTATTCTGATGAGTTCAGTTTGGTTCTGTCACTTTGCTGGTTGTGAAGGAGAACTGACAGTGTCAAGAACAGAAGGTATCACAATTATTCATCAGAGAGCAGAATACACACACAACCTCAGTAAGGAGACTGCTAGCTTTAGGTGAAAGGAAGCTGTGAATCAGGCACAAACCAGCTCTGAAGGAGACTGAACAGAAGCCACTGGGCAGGAACAGAATGACTAGAGGCAACATCTCTGGAGAACAAGGGCTCCTTGGTGTTGACCTTGAACGCACCTCCTACCCCCGGTTTATATAAATCCATCCAGAAAACACACCCTACTGATTGATACCAAGTTAAAGTCAGCACTCAGTTCCATGTTTCCCCTTCTCCAGTTCCTGGTGTCTATTTAACCCTCTGTGGCATCTCCTAGTCTTTCTCTGGGATGGCGTCCCTTAAAACTAAAATTTGGTTAGATGACATGTGACCAAAATTTGGGAGGAAGCCCAAGAAAAATATTGAGAGGAAGGCCCTGCATCTCACTATGGCAGCCTGAGGAAGAGCGGTTAAATTCCTTTCCTAGAGGATAAAATAAACACTCTTAAGATAATCTCACATTTACGTCTCTCTCCTATTATTAACTGACACGGTGGTCATTTGATTTTATGAATAAGGGAAAATTTGAAGGCTCTAATATATTAGTTCACCAGGAACTTCTCATACTCAACACTGAATTAAAAAAAAATGCCAGGAAGAATTTTTAATTATGCATATATTCTAATTAATTAACATAAGCTTAAACCTTCTCAAAAAAAATTGTTTCCTTTGAATTATTTTTCATGCACTTGATGCAATCAGTTCCTTAAATCAAATACTCTGTGTTTTTTAAATCATTATAAACACACCTTGGCTAAAATGCACGATTCCTTTGTCACTTAGTGGTTTTTATCTTTGACAATGTTCATTTTTTAACACATCTTGGAGAGTAAAGAAAGAGCACACAATGGAGGTATTTCAACGGCATCCATGATAGAAGCCAGAAATGCTTTAGGTAAATGCATACTAGTAAATTCTGAAAGGCTTTATCTTTTGTGTGTATCGGGGAGTTTAGGGAAAATTTAAGTAAGTATGTAGGATCATACTCCATGGTTTTAGTTTCTCTAGTTTATGTAAAAACAAACAAACAAACCTGGGTCATGGAGACACAGGGATTTTCATCAAGGGTGTCTCTGCTCTCAGCCTTTCTGCTTGGATTTTGCTTCTCCTTTTCTCCTATACGAAGGCATGTCTGACCCTGGTTCATTTATACTCTACCTTCTGCTTTTTCTTTGCTCTTTATGGAGGCAGTAAAGGGAAGTACATAAAAACCTAGCTGTTTAAAAAAACCAAAGATTCTAGTACACAGTGGAATATAGCTTGTACTAAATTGAACATAACTGCCAGCACCGAAAGACAAATCATACAGGCACAGCTGGGAGAGCAACGTATATTATATGTGCATATCTGCCCATAATTTGCTACGTGCAGCTCTAAGTGCAAAAAGCATAATTGAGATTAACTTATGATATGAAAAATCAAGCTATTAGTCTTATTTAAAAAAAAACTAATTTCAGTCATAGAAATAGAGTGCAGAATTTGTACTTTTTTTTAAAAAAAGAATTGCATTAATTTTGTGCTTTCAAACCCAAGGCGTTCTGTCTTATTTTTCCCCAAGTCTAACATATACACAAGCTGAAGCCTATCCTATTTTTAAGACACATTTTAGTCTCCTAGATGGTAGAGCATTATCCAAATGAATAGGACAGAAGTCAAACTGCTTTGTTACAAAATCCAGAATTACAGGGCCATATATCATCACAGCAATCTGAAACTATTTTCTGATATTTACTGTCATTAGTCTGCATCCGGCTGGAGTTTAATCAATTAGGAGTTTAATCAATTAAGAGTTTAAAATGTAAATTGAAACAGAAATTAACCAAACTACAAACCAAATATGGGAATGTATAAAAACATCTGTTTATGTCATTTGACATATGTAAATAGAAGTGAAGTTCGACATGTCATGTGTATCCAATCTATTACCAAGTCCTGACTATTTATCTCCTCCATATTTCTCAGAACGCTTCCTTTTCTCCATCTCCATCTCTCCCACTGAATCCAATTCAACATCCTGTATCTTGTGGATTGATATAAGTACTCTCCTAACAGGTTTCCCCTCATCCCCTCCAATCCTTTCTCCATCTTACAGCTTAAGTGATTTTTTAAAAATAATCTTATTTCTCCCCTACTTAAAACTTCCATGGTTTGCCATTGTTCAGGATAAAGCCCCAAATTTCTCACGTGGCCTCTGAGGCCAAGCATGAGCTGACCCCACCTCCCTCACCAGCCCGTGCACCCCGCCACCTCTTCCTGTTGTCGTGTCCTAGGCCTTTCTGGCAACCTGCCATACGCCAGGCTCCGTCTCACCTCGGCATGTGCCCACACTCTGGTCTCACTCCCAGCCATCCCTTCCCCCGGATAATTCCCATTCATCTTGCCAAGTTTGGCACAAATGTCTCTTCCTCAAGGAAGCATTTATTGACCCCCAAAACTAGGTTAGGTCTCTTTTTCACATGTTCTCAGAGCATTCGTTTGCTAAACGTATACATTTCCTTTTGTTTTAAAAAATGAGGTTTGGGCACAAGTGTTCACAGTCAGAGAAGAGTCACGATCTCGAAATATTATTTTACGGCGCCTGTTACGGAAAGGAATTCAGCACATAGTTTTTCATATTAAGTCCCCAAGCCCCACAGTTACAGCATGGGCACTAAGAGCGCTAAGGAAGAGCTCAATTGCACAAATAGCGACTATTTATGCTTCCCGGAAAGTACAGTGCTATTTCATGTCTGTGTGCCTTGACACTCATGCTCCCTTTGCCCCCAGATCCCTCCTGAACCTCTACCTGAGGACCCCGCAAGGCCAGCTCACTCACCGCTTCCTGGGTGAGGTTACCCACGTCCATCACTGCCCCTCCTTATTAATCACCCCTCCTCTGCCATGTCTATGCCTGGTGCCTACTTCTTAGGCAGCATGTGAGTCTTTTTATATCCCCAGTGCCGAGAAGATCGATATATTTTAATTGACTTGAATCAACTCAAGGGGAGTGATGAAAACCTCCACTGGTGTCCAGAAGTGGAGAGGGAAAAGTACTTAGCTCAGTGTGAAGTTTGCAGGAAGGGGTGGGATCCAACAATATGGGGATCTCCGCTTGTATCACTTATATCTATTCTTAAAAGCAGTTTATTTCCTCCTCACGCCTAGGCTTCTCGGATTATATAGTGAAGTCATTTTCTTTTTAACTATTTATTTTATTTATTTATTTATTTATTTGGCTGTGTTGGGTCTTCGTTGCTGTGCGCGGGATTTCTCTAGTTGCAGCGAACAGGGGTTACTCTTCATTGCGGTGTGTGGGCTTCCCATTGTGGTGGCTTCTCTTGTTGCGGAGCACGGACTCTAGGCACGCGGGCTTCAGTAGTTGTGGTGCACGGGCTTAGTTGCTCCGTGGCATGTGGGATCTTCCCGGACCAGGGCTGGAACCCGTGTCTCCTGCATTGGCAGGCGGATTCTTAACCACTGCGCCACCAAGGAAGTCCTCCCATGAAGTCATTTTTATATGAAGTTTAATAGATGAAATCTTCCACTTTAGACAATGTCTTTGGGATCTGTCCCTCTCATGTATCAAGGGATGTGGATATTCTTTCTCTGCAAACACAGTTTGTTTGGGTTGTGTCATCAGAGGACACGATTTGGTACCTCTCAGATTTTGATCCTTGCTGCTGTTTGGAGACTCATATTTAACTCATCTGCAAAGGCTGGTTACATGAATCAAGGGTGACCTTGGGCCGCATAGAAAATCTGTTTAACAGAGCCCATATACAGGGGGATATGTGGAACCCGCTGGAACAGATGGTAATATTGGCAATCAGAACCTTGTTTGT